CAGCATCATGCTATTGGGAGGCCTCTGTCTTGCAGAAGTGTATTGGATCTGGTCAGAGATAAAGGGATGATGGGTGGAGCGAAAAGTGCTGTAAAAAACAGCTGAACATAATAACCCTGCCATCACTCCAACTTAAGCAGATGAGTTAATACTAGAACCAGTATGTTCATAGACACATCCCACTAAATCTTACTGAGCTTGAGCTTTCTTGTTAAGAAGAATTGAGTGAAATATAGATCTTTGTGCCTGCAGCTACGATCTTAGCCTTTATCTAAATGTGTACTGACCCTGGGAGCTGAATATGCATGCATGCTACTCTTTTCAGATTTGTGTTTGTTAAAAGGAGTTGAAAACCATGCTCAAAAAATTTCAAATTATCGAATTATTACAGAGCAAAGACCAAAATCAAATGAAAATGAATTATATGTTTATTTTTTACATAATCATTGAATTATAGACAAACAAATTATGATTACTTAATCCAGCATTGTAGTCTATATAACAGATGCCACTAATGCTTAACTATGTAGTTCAGTTGAATTGATAGTATGAAAATGCTAAACATGATTGTATTTTATTGATGGCATTTATTATGCTCATGTTTAAATAATAAAAAAAAAAGTTCAGTGGAACCAGTGTACATAACTAGCATAAGTTGAGCCATCATATATATTCTTACATTTTACATCTTTAACCTAAACAATCAAATATAATCAACCCTTTAACTGGTCAGATATAAGTAGAAACATTGGATTAGGCTCTATTATAACTCCAATCTTGAATTGCAGGAAAAGTACAAATTTTATCAGCTAAGGGTCAGCTTAATATACCACACTTCCATTTAACTTATGGAGCCACAGGGGATATAAAAACATAACGTAAAGCGTCCTGGGAAATAACAGGAGTGACTGCTGCAGCCAATTTTCATTTGCATAAATACCTTTTACATATAAAGTCATAAGATTAGGTTGAATTAGTTTCATTAGTGATATTAAAATACCCTGTTGTTGTTTAAATACAATGAAATCTGTTTATTTTCGGCAAAGAGACTGTATTTTAAGTATTAATCTGACCACAGAACAGTTACCTAAAGCAAACAATGTTGCAATTTAATTTCTGTGCATGAAGCAACTGTGGACAATTTTAATTAGCATATAGATAAGTTCACTAATAAATGATAAATTGTTTCAACATCTCTTCTTTTTATTTAAATAGAATTTAATCTTCTTATGTTTAGCCTGAAATGTATTTTTGGGTAGTAGTCTGATTTATAAAGCAAGCAGCAATAGCATTTAATTTCTTGGAAATTATAAGGCCATCATTATTTAAGGATGTCTCAGAAGAACCAGTGCTAGAAATGGTTGCAATAGACAAATTCTTTTCTCTACTGATGACAAAAAGCAACAAAACAAAAAGAAAAGAAAAGACACCCTTATACTGGGGGGTGGCTCCCATCAAAAGCGGTTTTAGCAGGGTGGTCCTGCCAAGTGAAAACCCTCCATCCTATTCTCTTTTCCAGCACTCCATGAATACACACAGACTCACTCTGCCCACTGTGGGTTAGTACTTGCTGATGGTTTCAGATTTGGCTGAACGTTTCTGTAAATGCAGATGTGAGCCCCACATCGCTGCAACTTGCAAAAAAAAAAAAAAAAGATGGAAAAAGTCAAGGATTTTCCAACCATTTTCCCATTCTGTTAATCCAGCGGCCTTTACGTGGACCCGCTTTGTGATTGGTCCCAGATTTTGCTGTGGGTCCAGAGACGCTGTTTGGCTTTTCACACAGAAGTTTTCCCATTGATTCTGGCACAGTGTGGCCGGCAGGAAATGACTGAGAATTGTGACTGTAACAATGCCAGTGGACTGCGGCCAGACCGCTGCTGTTTGTTCAACCACACAAAACGTTCCTGTGGGTTAATAACTACAGACACTTGAAGGTTTCCACTATTTAGAGATTCGGTCTGTGAAACTGTAAAATATGAGCTTAGTTTGGAGGAACTAAGCTTACAGAAGAGGAGCAATAAGAGAGAAGGTCTGTTTTTTAGTTTGGAAATTATTGTTTTAGTTTGACTGAAATTATTTGACACCGACCGACTGGGAAAGCCTTAAAACTGCAGCAGACTATACATCCCACTCTGTGACGTTGGGTTTAAAGAATCATCATCTTGTTACTGCCAGCCCTGCCTATCCTTCCTGGAAGTGAGGTCACAAAAGAGGAATCAGAACAAAGGATTGTTTCAGCCATCTTGACCCACAATGAGCTGCATGTGATCTTTCAGTGTTACCTCAGAAAATATAAACACAGGTACAAACATTTTAAGTAACCCAAGCTGTGCAGATCCTGCCATGAAATATGGGACCTCCATCACCCTACTTTTTTTTTTACAAAGACAACATGGCTGGGTTTTTTTTTTAAGGAAAAACAAACACAAAGATAAACTTGACATGATAGAATTTGAATAAAATCTTAATCATATGGCTCTGAAAATGATGCCTTGAAAATGAAGTAAAGACGTCACCATCAATTTCCTTTTCTGTATAAAAACAATACATTTTAAGAAATTTAGAAGAAAAAAAACACTGTATTTTCCCTCTTTCAGCTGTGCCTTTAATGACAATGAGGTAACTTGTCTTTCCTAAAGAAACTTTAAAACAAGAATTAAATGTTACCTTTATAACTTTCATAATTTTTAAATCATCATAGATTGTTCTATTTCTTTAATACCTGAAGGATAAAAGTGTTCACTTTTTTCATTGCTCCCTGTTTAGCCATGACCCATGGATGTCCTTCCACACTTATTTCCATTCCATATAAAATTGTGTATAAACCTCTACAATAATTTCACCTTGCAGTTGCATAATCTCACTTGACAAAATTAATTAACAAAAGTTAAAAAATAAAAATCCCACTTACTCATACTATAATAATCACAAGGTTCCCTTGACATTTAAAAGATAAAAGCCCACAGCATCATAGATCCTCCTCCCTAGCAGTGGTCATAACGGTCTTTACAACATCTTCATGCCAAAGCTAGATTTAGTAATTTATTGATGAAATGCTCAACATTAAAAGTACCTGATTAATAATGCATCCCCTCAAGTTTAGCAAACTCCTTTCCATCACATAGGATGGTAGGACATGAAACCTAGTTGCCATTTATTGATTATTTTTCCAGACTTAATAGATAAAAAGAAAATGTAGGTTGGATCTGCACATTTTCACATACACATTTTTCTTCCTTTAGCACCTTCTTCTTCTCCTTGACTATTAGAGCTGATGTAACGAATACATTTCTCCATTGCGAGATCAATAAAGTCAATAAATCAATTTTTGTTTACCTTCTTGAATCTGTACTAAATTAAATTCACATGATATCATCTTAATTCAGTCCTTAAAGGTATAGTGGAGAATTTTCGCAATTTTTTGAAAAAAAATAAAAAATTAAAAGCTGCTGTTTGCATCGCTCATACAAGTTTACGTTCCTAAAGAAGATTTGTAATTTTTCCACTATGTCAGACTCACCAACGGTAAGCGAAAATGGGGACGAGCATGTAGGACGGCCTTATGTAAATATTTTATCAGAATGATTGACATTAGGAGGACCACTTATTTCGATGATCCACAAAAGAAAAAGGATGGCATTTCTCTATCCAACTTTTTTTTTCTTTTAAGCATACACAAATGGTTTAATGAGGGACTGCCTTTGAGTCAATGATTCGATGCGATCAATTGGTTTTCTTTAGATAGAAACCTTTGGATCAATTTGAATGTATAATCTGGTTGAATTAAAGTGTGTTGGGAATTGGTGCTATATAACTAAACTGAATGGAATTTAGCTTTTTTAAAGAACATTGAGTTTTTCTAATAAGATATGTATGTCTGTATGTATGTATGCATGCATGTATGCGTGTATGTGTGTATGTATGTATTTTTGAACCAGGTATGACTCATTCAAATCACAAATCTCTTCTGCAAGAGAGCCCTGATAACAACATCCCAACATTCAAGGTAAAAAATAACTAATCGAAACTAGTTATTATGCAATTTTTACACTAAAAGAAAAATGAAACAAACATAGCCCTGGAAGTAAAAATAAGACTGAGTTACATCTTGATCAAAACATTTATAAAAAAAAAAAATAATAATAATAAAATTAGCAAAGATTAATTAAGACTGGCCCTTAATATATTAAAGGATCATATTTCTTTCAACTTTAAATCATTCTGCAGTTAATTCCATTCTGAGGAAGAAGCATAACTGGAAATACTTTTTTTTGCCATTATCAGTGTGAACCTTAAGCATATTTAATAAAGTTAGGGTTTTTTTTTTTTTTTGGCACAGAACATTAGCACCTGAAAGTTTTGAAAAGTTTTGAAAAGTTTTTTTGTTTGTTTTTCTGTTTTTTAACAATAATAGATTATGTTCAATTAAACACAAAATGGCTTTGTAAATAAATAAATAAAAATCTACGGTTGGAAAAGAGTCCAACCAACATGGGACAAGAAAATGACGTATGAATTACAGCTTCTAGAGCAGTAATAAAACGAGAAGCTCAATGATGCAGAATCTTGTGCAATCAGTATGAACATGCATGCATAGAAATTATGCAACCATGATCTAAAATACGCAAAAAGTTGCAGCAACAAGACGTTTCCTCAAACTCTCAAATGATAAACAACATCTAAACCAGCTTTAATTTTGTTTTACGTTGGTAAATATAAGACTAAAAACTCTATAAACTTTAATTTAAATCACTGTTGTTGAGGTCATGCTTGCTGATTTTTTTTTTTCTTTGTTTTACAGTTTTTTTTATATATATATATAACTATATTAAAACGCATTGCTATATGTTTTTTTGCTTTTATTTTTTTTTTTTTTAGTGTAACGCCAGATGTTCTAACAAGATCTAACTGAATGAACTTGCAGCACCATCCCCCTGGTTGTGATGAGGCAGGAGAAGCTGATCCAACAGCAGACTCTCTGTGTCTGGGCTCATGCAGGGAGGGAGGGCTGAGAGGGACTTCCAGCCCACTGCAGACTTCTCCGGAGTTTCCAGAGCTCGCTGGGAGCGGTGAGAGGCTGCATGCCTTTATGCTGGAGCGAAGAGGGAAAAGGCTCAATGCAGAATGGTGGAAAGAGGGAGATTTTTTCTCTGCCATGAAATCTTCGCTCTTTAATTGAACTTTTAGGTTGAGCTTCGAGCTTCCAGCGGTAAGTTGCCTAATTGCGCTGAATGTGAATTCCGGTGTGTATGATAAAAAAAACAACAAAAAAAACTCTGATCTGTGTTGGAAAAATTAAGAAAAGCAAAGAAACCTGTTAAATTTAGTTTTTTATTGTAAAAATAAAGTTTAGTTTAATGAAAGAGCTAAATCAGCAGTTATTATTTAATTAATATTTCTGGAAGAAGTGCTTTCTTATAATAATGACACTGACTTCTCTGCTGCAGCTGAAAGCAAAACACTTTCCTCTTCATTGAGCTCCACTCTCAGCCGCCTGGCTGATGTGAAGAAGATGAACATCGTACGCCATCACTACAACCACACTGGAAAGCTGGACCACAGGTCTCCGAGCTCTGACCTAGGAACTTTGGATATTAAAACCATCATCTTCCTCATTATTTGCAGCTTTATCTTCCTGGAGAACCTCACCGTTCTAGTGGTCATATGGAGGACACACAGGTTCCATAACCGGATGTACTTCTTCATTGGGAACCTGGCGCTGTGCGACTTGCTGGCTGGAGTCGCCTACCTGGTCAACTTGCTTCTCTCTGGAAAGAAGACTTTTGAACTCTCGCCGAATCTGTGGTTTGTTAGAGAGGGCAGCATGTTTGTAGCACTCAGCGCCTCCATCTTCAGTCTCCTGGCCATTGCCATAGAGAGACACCTGACTATGATCAAAATGAGGCCTTATGACGCCAGCAAGAACTACAGAGTATTTCTGCTCATAGGGACCTGCTGGCTGATTGCTGTAACTCTTGGAGCGTTACCCATCTTAGGTTGGAACTGCATTGAAAACCTTCCTGATTGCTCCACAGTCCTGCCTCTTTACAGCAAGAAATATGTAGCTTTCTGCATCACGGTTTTCATGGTATTGCTTTTAGCCATGTCAGTCCTCTACGCTCGCATTTACATCGTGGTAAAATCCAGCAGCCAAAAGGTGAGTAAGCACAGCAACTCTGAGCATGCAATCTCCCTTCTACGCACCTTGATCATCGTAGTTGGGGTCTTCATCGCCTGCTGGACGCCCATCTTTATTCTGCTCCTGGTGGATGTGGCTTGTGAGCAGCGCTGCCAAGTCCTCTATAAAGCTGACTGGTTTATTGCACTGGCTGTGCTCAATTCAGCCATGAACCCGGTCATCTACACTCTGGCTAGCCGGGAGATGCGACGGGCCTTCTTGGGTCTGGTTTGTGGCATTTGCTACAGGGTGAAGGTGTCTGTGAATGGCAGTGGGAACAGGCAGTCCCTAGAGCCCAGCCGGAGCAGGAGCAAATCATGGAGCAGCCAGAACAACCCAAACCAGAGCCAGCAAAGGGGCCAGGAGAAAGACACTGGGACAAAAAGAGAAGATGCTCAGTGGGGTGTTCAGAGTGATGGGACAGATTAAAAGAAGGGTTCAAGCAATTAAATAAAATGCTTCCTCAAAGTGAAAGGTTTTTTTTTTTTTGGACTGAAAATAAATTTAAAAGGAAGGATATCCGAAATAAAGATTGGAGCTTATTGTTTCAGCCAAGAAGTTTACCTTTGAAACCCGATGTTTAAATCTTTAGCATCTGGAATTGAGAAGTTAATTTAAGCTGACCTTAACTTTCATTTAGTGGGTGTTTTTCTTTTCTCTAGTCATGAAAGAAAGCAAATACTGTATCTCTAGGTGTAGTCATCATTTATAAGACTAAAAAGAAAGATCAGTACATTATGTAAAAGAGCAGTGCATGGTAGCTTAAGCTCTTAGAGATATTTACTGTTATATCTGGATGAAAGGTTCTGTCATAAAGATATTTTATAAACTGCAACTCTTAAGCATATATATGGATAGTAAGCATGCCTTATTTTTTTTTATAAAGTTCTACTAGCATTCCATGACAAACCTAAAGCATGATTGTAGACATTTCTTGTTGCAATCAATCAGCCAGCTGTATTTATTAATGTATTTTTTACGCATTGTTTTTTTCTATTTACCTGTACACGTATTTTGAGTGCAGAGTCCTTAGGACCTATATTTAAAGCTCACACTATAACTGCTTTTGTCCTGTCTATTCTGTAACTAATGTAATTGACTTTTTATGACACCAAGGCTCCATCTGCTGGTCAGTTGCAGTACTTCTGCAAATTCAGTACTTGCATGTTGCAATCTGATAGAAAACAAATTAATTAATAATAAAAAAAAGTGTGGAGTTAGCAGACTGAATATTTAAGAGTCGCGTGATAGCTTAATGCAAACAATAAAATAAGAACAATGTTGGATCCTATTTATATGCTGAAATTTTTGTTTTCATTTTAAAAGTCGAAATAGAAAACTGATCTGAATTTGGAGTCACTTATCAAGCAGAGTCAGGTTTATCTTGGCTTTCTCTGTGCTGTTCTTGGAACAGTAATGGCACTTGAAAATTAAGTTTACATTTCAAAGAACTTTAAACCTATCAACTTGCATTGTCAATTAAAAATATTTAACCTCCACAACTATTTTGTTTTATTGGTGGAATGTTACACTAGCAGCTGTCTGCAATGAACCTATCAAATCAGATTAATGTAAATAGCTCAACAGAAGTAATTTTACAAGTGCTTTCGCCATATTTATCAGTTCAAAGACTTCTTCAGTCTCAAAACTCTTCTCAATTATGACTTTTGGCAGAGTTCCTGAGTAATCATAGTTCATGCCTCACTGTAAAGGCCTTCCCCCCTATTTACCCAAGTGGGTTTGCTTGTTGCATGTACCTTTCAAAAAATCTCACAAGAGCTTTTCAACTGAGTATCATGTATCCTCCAGGATTCTTCTAAAACCAGACCTTGGTGGCTATGAATGCTCTATGTTTGGAGTTATTATTCTTTTAAAGTTTCAAGCTTTAGCTTCCTCAAAGACAGAGTTAGAATATATTGGTGGCTTGACTGAATCTATCTTTTCCTCTGCATGCTTAGGATTTCTAGTGTCAAGGAAAAGCAAACCAGCCCCAGAGATCACCGAGCCACCGCCATGCCCTTTTGTTGTAGGCATTGTAGTTTTAGTTTTCATTATTTCTCTCTCATAAGAGAAAAAAAAAAACTATTTTTGCCTTATTTATGAGCAAAGGTGATGACTTTTTTCTGCTTTTGGTGATTAATGGGGTATGCCTTGTAGTTCAGGTATTATGCTGTAACTATAGAAACTAAAAGCTGCAGTGGCTGCTTCCAACACATTTATCGGTTAATTACAGCCAGTTAAGGAGTTTTGGGAGCCTGCTTCCCCTGGAATCTGGTAGCAGTAGTTGATAGTTTCCTCCAGGTGGCGCAGCTGCTGTTCACTTAAAGTCTAAAACAACTCTTCTAACCTATAGGTATTTCTTATGTTTTTCGTCTTTATTTTTGTTTGCACAAAATAGTGATCTTCTGACTGAGCTTTGTGAAATATTTTTCCTCATCTAGCCTTGTTTATAAAACACAATGACACCCAACTGTCCACTATCTAGTTATTTAATGTTTTCCATCTCCAGCACATCTGATGCAACCAAACAAGCCCTTTGCTGGTTCCATCAAATATGACCTGATTTTTAAACATCTGCACATTTATAGTAAAGTAGAATGATTTTGAGGCTGATGAAGTCATTCAGATTTGGCATCAAATCTAAATATTTTCATAATATATTTTGTTTAATTACCTGAACTGGCCTTGAGCACTTTGTTGATTTCAAAAAACTAGAAAATATTGAATGTGGTCAATAAAGGTAACTTTCAGTGGGTAATGAATTTATTCATGAGCAAGTGGACTAGTGAAACTCTTTGTGTACTACTGAATGCATTTATTTCGAAGTCATCTAAACCTCTAGTTTTCAGCTAAATATTGTTACACCTAACATAAAATCCCTAATGCAGCAGACTAACCATTGAGCATCCAGCTGTAACTAGAGGATCTTATGAGCTCTGAATTTCCATGTGTATAAAAAGGTATATGAATCATCACACTGCTACATTTGGTGTTCTACCTAATGCAGAACCCTTATTCTAATTTGTCAAAAATGTAAATACTACAGTTCAAAGTATTACATACAGTTGTGCCATTTCTTTTTTGATAAATGTCTTAACTGTAACTTCGCAATGGACCAGAAAAGTAATTCATTTTAGTAATTATTCTCCAGCCTGTACACAAGAAACAAAGTTTATCGTCTTGAAACTGCCCAGTATATAAAATGAAGACTGTTCTATGTGCCTGTTCCACTTGTGATTATCAGTTTCATTGTCCGGCAGGTTAATGTACCAACATTTCTATATAAGCATGTTATTGATCCATATAATGAAAAGAATAAAAGCCATGTTGGGTCAACTGTGGATTATTGGGCAGAGCTGTCATTTTGTAGGTTGTGGGTTTGTTTCCAGCTTCTTCCTGCTTGATGTTGATGTACTTTTAGGCAAGGTTCTTCACCCAGGTTGGGTAATCTTTGTATCAATGTATGAATGTATGTCCCTGCTCAATGCAACTCGGTTAATGTGGGTCAGGAATATCCCATATGTGTGAATTATGATAACTTCAGCCAAGATGTTTTTCCAAAGTTTTTTTTTTCTTTTATCTGTTAGGGCAGACAAAAGAGGGTGGATTTTTTTTTTTTTTTTGTAAAAATTTGAATTTTATTCAAAAACTTTTTCCACATGTCAACTCAGGTGGAAAATACTGTATGCTATAATGCACATATAATTTGACATTTGCATTTTGACTCTCCTTAACCAAATGCAAATGCATAAATGTAGAATATTCACCACTATTTTAGTCACTACTTTAGGAAATAAATGCTTAATATGCATAATAAATTATTTTTTTGTCAACATCCAGTTTCATATCGATTCGGGGGTAAATCCTCTCCAAAACCATTCTAATTATTCTTATCTGCACTGTTACTGCACTGGAGATGATAGGCTATTGTAGAGTGTAGATGCAATGGCGCTTTCCATTCTGCTATCACTAAATGTTCAGTATGTGCGGCAGAGCAAGGGACATACTACAGTACAAACCACTGTCCACTGCCTACATGCTGATCCAGGAGGAGTGAATTCTTCAAGTTTGTTGCCTGGATTTTGTTAGATAGAAAACTTTTTAACCAATTTAAATAACAAACTGGATAAGTATGCATTATTTGATAATTAGGATCCATTGGAATGTAGGACATTGGAAATTGCCAGTATAAAACCATTAAATTGACTGTTTTTTTTATGTAAAGTGCTTTGATACAACAGATGTTCTGAATTAGAGTTTTACGAATAATGTAAATTGAATTAAAAATGGTAGTTTAGTTTAAATTCTATTCAGTTCTCAATAAAAATTCAAGCATTCGCAAGTTCTTTTTGTGGCTATCACCTCTGCACTTTCATCACCTATTTAGTCAGGAGGCAGTTGTACCACTTAATTATATGCTTAGATATCCATGTTTGTGGAAGGACACCAAATTGTAGTAAAGAAATGGCCACAGGTTTATATAACTTGATGGACACCGTGTGTAACTTTGTACACTTTATTAGACTATGTGCCATTAAAACATTACTGTAAAATTTGAAAGTTTAACTGTGATTATCAGGTTTAAGGGCTGTGTGCAGAGATTAATTGATTAATTAGTCAACACAGATATTAACAAAAAACTATTTAAGCAAATTTACTGCCAATAACCATTTATAGCAATATTAAAAACATGTAGAGTAAAAATAATAATTTTAAAATATGCATACAATAGGCAAGCGAAGAAAAAAGAAAAGCAAGGGAAAAAAAGAAAACAAGGGGAGGAACAATAAATTACATTACGGTAGCAAAATATTGCAAGGTAAATGAAAGTGGAACTAGAAACTAAAAATAATATTTCAGTTGAGAGTTTAACTAGAACAATACTCCCACTTCTTAATAATTCATAATGCACATAAAACAAACAATTATTATAACATGTTATAACAAACTGCTGCACAGGTAAAAAAAAAAAAAAAAAGGAATAACAAAAATAAGCCCAGAGAGTTAAACAGTATTTCAAAGTGTTTTTATTTATTATCTGTATAGAATTATTATTGTACCAATAAAATATTTTAGATCTAGCATATTTAAATCTATCCATACCACGTGTTTGCTTTGTGAAGAAGTAACCCTCTTATACTGAGGGAAGGGTAAAAAAGGCAGAGTGCAGGTAAAAGGAATCAGATGATAATGTAAAACAGCTTGGACTGAAAGAGGACAGATGAGCTGAGGGAAGAAAACTAATGAACAAGTGTAGAGCAGAACACAAGGTAATAACACTCATGCAGGTCAATGAACTGATAAGTCAGAAATCTAACATATAGCGATGAAAACTAAACATGGCAAAACATAGGTAAACATCAAGGATATGATAAGTACGCAAGGTAGTGTCATTTATCCTGCTGACATAAAACTGCAAAGAAAAAAAAACAACAGAACTTGTGTGAGAGTTGTATAAGCCTATCCCTGACCAATGAAAGACACAAATAGCGCGAAACACATTTCACCTTATTATTGTTAACAACCTTCAACCACATCATTTAGATGAATATACACAAGCCTGCATAATACATTACTTTTCAAAAGCACGTGTTCATAATAATTAAAGTATATCTTATAAACACAGGCCATATTTTGAGAAAAACTGGAGCATGTCATTAAATAAATTTCATAGATTAATAGTGGTTTTGTTTCCCTGGTAAGGGTTAATTCTTAAGAAATTGAGAGGAAATTGCAACGGGTGAATGATGAGGCAATTACAGGGTCTGGGTTTGTTGCATGTGTGTATTGTGAAATTGAGAATTAGTTCCACTCATACATTATCACCAAAAATGTCGTACCTACTGAGAGTTGGAAAATGGGTTCAGGGAATGTTACTGTTGTTGCTCTAATAATCAACATAGTTTTTTTTTCTTTCTTCTATCTTTGACTCCACTTTCTCCACAATGTTTTCTATAGTTGTTTTATAAGTTTTCATTTCAAATCTAATTATGAAATTAAGAAAGAAATCCACTGGTGCAATAGTAGTGATGTTTTTGCAAACAGAGTTATTCTAATAAGATATGTATGGATGGATGGATGGATGTATGTATGTATATCTCAAGGAAGAAAGCAACCCAAAAAATAAAATATATTCCTTGATTATATGAATGAATAAGCATTTTAATTCTTCAGATAGATTTCCTAAGAAGGAGGGAAATCAAGCATTTCCTTCCATTAATCATTATGGGCAATTGATCTCTATCAAAAAAATTAGATAAACTCCAAGCCCAAGCAAATACCCAGTATTGGCAAT